TTTTTTTGTAAAATTTGTACACAATGTTCTTTAATACCTTTGTTCCTTGTACCCTTTTAAGCAATTTCGATAAAGACCCGAAACATGACTCAATCAATCTAGTCTAGACAAGTCTCATAAGTCACAACCCATTTAATATTTTAGAATCTAACCATGTGACTGCGTCTATAGAGTGACAATAATTCCGTTGTAGTAAATTTATAATTAATATACACATTTATTGTTAAAGTGACTATACATATTAACATATAGAAAGAAGAATGTGTGTGTACACATGTCGATAAGTATCATTTTTGGACTTCTTTCTTGAATCAAAAAGGTTTTTACCTTTCCCTATATTCTGTTTGGTAGAAGAAATTATTATTATTATTATTATTATTATTGAGTTGAAGATATTATTATTATTTTTTATATTTTTTATATTGGTATGTGTATAAGTCTCCGTGTTTTGCATTCAGACGTTATATTTGACCAAAAAATGTGCAAATATCATCCACTAAATATTATATAAAAATTTACTTTAATGAAATGTAAATCGATACATTACATCAAACTTGATGTTTTGTTATACTTAAACATAAAGTAATTCATTTGAACCATTATGATCAATGAAACTAAGTTTGTAGGATTTTAATTAAATCACATAATTTATTAATGAGAACATCAAAATTATATCAAAATTATGGAAAGGTTTTAACAAAATGGCCATTGTTCACTTTTTACACAAATGGCCAGCTATTTGTCGCAAAATTGTTTTTTAAATGTTTTCAAAGCAAAAAAACTTCAAAAAAGAAAAAAGAAAAAAGATTAAAATATATCACTTTCGCAAATCGCAATGATATGAAAAGTTTAAGAATGCTATGAAGAATTTCACAATTCTGTGATTTTAATTTAAAGATAATCATCCACAAAAAAATTCGCATAAAAAAAGTAATTTCGTAACCATACATAGGGACATTTTTAAAAAGTGAAAAATATAATTGATTAAATAAATTTCTCTACTTTGGTCAATTTTGTGATACTTTTATTATTAATATAAAGAAATAAAATTAATTTACATAAATCCATTATTTCAGTATCTCTATTTTCAATGTTTGAAGATTATTAATATTACTAATTTGTTATATTGTCCTTTGGTGCTATTAATAATTTTTCTACTCTATCGTCTTATTGTAACGTTCTTTATTTTAGAATACTTAACCGTTAATTACTTAATTCCTTAGTTTGTTGGTACTAATTTGTTTACGTATGTGGCATCTTATTATTAACTAATGATAACATGTATTTGTTTATTCAAAAAGGTCAAAATCTATAAACTATTTGATTATGTTTATGGTTTAATTTTTATTTGATTGTTTTTATGGTTTAATCTTTATATCTTAGTTATGCTAACGAAATTCACTTAAGTTTTTTAATGTTTTATTTAGCGAGTCATAATATAGTTTTCAAACTTTTTAAATTGTTATGTTTGAGAGATCAAAAAAATATCTTATAAACTAGTTTTTTAAAAAACTATATAGACTAGTTTTTTAAAAGTTTTTTTAAATTTCCAAATACATCCTTAATTAATTATAGAAAATATATTTTTTTAAATACATTTTTATGTCATTTTATATCTTTTAACTCGTTTATGAGCTAGTTTTATCCAACATTATTTTTGATCAACTAATTTGCTATCCGCTAGTTTTTCAGCTAATAACTAGCCATTATGTCAAACATAATGAAAATTTAGTTGCTTTAGTGAATTATTTTGAGAGTATGGCAAACATAATTTAGCTTATTTTTGAGCTAATTACAATTTAGTAAAAATATTTATAAACCAACTTTTTAATAATCTACTTGATCTAACATAAGAATCTGTAAAAATAAAATCTGGTCTTCATAAAACGTATACTTCATGTGTTTTTGATTGCAGATGCCTTCGTCGGAGTAAACATAGGCACCGCCCTCTCCGACATGCCAAACCCAACCCAAGTCGTAGTCCTTCTCAAATCTCAACAAATCCGCCATGTCCGCCTCTACGACGCCGATCAGGCCATGCTCCTAGCCCTCTCCGGCAGTGGAATCCAAGTCACTGTCACCGTTCCCAACCAACAACTCCTCGCCATCGCTCAATCCAACGCCACCGCCGCCAATTGGGTATCCCGTAACATCCTCCCACACATCACCACCACCAACATCACCGCCATTTCAGTCGGAAACGAAGTCCTCACCACCACCCCAAACACGGCATCGGTCCTAGTCTCCGCCCTAAAATACATCCACTCCGCCCTAATCGCCGCCAGTCTAGACTCCCAAATCAAAGTCTCCACCGTCCATTCTTCCTCCATCATCCTCGATTCCTTCCCTCCCTCTCAAGCCTTCTTTAATCGGACATGGGAACCTGTAATGATTTCATTACTAGAATTCCTCCAATCCACCGAGTCGTACCTCATGCTTAACGTCTACCCGTATTCCGATTACATCCAATCAAACGGCGCAATTCCGTTGGACTACGCCCTATTCCGCCCTCTCACGCCGGAAAAAGAAGCCATCGATTCCAACACCCTTTTACACTACACAAACGTCTTCGACGCTGTGGTGGATGCAGCTTATTTCGCGATGTTGTATCTAAACTACACAAACATTCCAATCGTTGTAACGGAATCCGGTTGGCCATCAAAAGGTGATTCCAACGAACCAGACGCCACCCTCGATAACGCCAATACCTACAACAGTAACTTGATCAAACATGTTTTAAACACCACCGGAACTCCAAAACACCCCGGAGTAGCCACCAGTACGTACATCTACGAGCTTTATAACGAAGATTTGAAACCGGGATCGGTGTCGGAAAAAAACTGGGGGCTTTTTTATTCAAATGGGAAGCCGGTTTATGTGCTTCATTTGATTGATTCTGGGTCTGTGTTGGCGAATGACACCACCGACGAGACTTATTGTGTGGCTAAAAAAGACGCCGACAAGAAGATGTTGCAGGCGGCGTTGGACTGGGCTTGTGGGCCGGGGAAGGTGAATTGTTCGGTGATGTTGCAGGGTGAACCGTGTTATGAGCCGGATACGGTGGTGGCACATGCGACTTACGCTTTTGATTCTTATTATCACCGGATGGGCATGGCTGACGGAACCTGCAACTTCAATGGCGTCGCTACCATTTCAACCACAAATCCAAGTCGTGATGGTTGTACTTTTCCGGGAAGGTAAAAAGAATAAAAGATCATCTTTTTATTTGTTAATTCGGTTGTGTGATTGTGAAAGGATATAAATACGTACTTACAGTTTTCTTTTTGATGTTTTTTAGTGGCGGGAGTAATGGAAGCTTCATCAATGGAACATCTGTGGCTCCGTCTACGAATTCTACCACATCGGTCGGGTTTTCAGTGTTGGATTCTGTTTCTTTCGTTCGAGTTTTTGGTGCATGTCTCTGGACGATGGCATTCTTGTAAATTGTACGCTTGTAGTTTGTAGAGACAAGTGAAGCCATGCAAAAAATGTACTTGCTTTTGATGGTATTCGATTCTTGCTAACGTTTTACTAGATTAGATAGTTATCAGTTATGTCGACATAATTACCTGAGTCACATAACATTAATTTGGGATAATGTACTTGCTTTTGAAATTGGTGGGACTTCTCTTGTAGTGAGAGATGTATTAATATAAGTCATAAGAGGTCAATTCATTTTTGTAAGAAAATAGTGTTGCTTGAAAACTGTTTTAAATTGGGTCAAATAATTGTCGATCACATTCTCTTTAATTATCACTTTCATCATCAAACAACTGGTTTAACAATTTCTCATATATTTGTCACAAGAAACAATAACATTTTATATAGTCTCAACATCATAATTTCTGTAAGACAAACAAGAATTTTGAACAACTCTTCTAACAAAAGAAGTGGGATTCCGTCAGGTTAGTTTCTCTTGTTCATAAACCACAACAAAGAAATAACTCTTCCGTTTATATGAAGTCAAAGGTGTTATCAACTGTACCAATCTCGTAATTTTATACAAAGTATATATATATATCCCAAATCATAGTCCTCCTATTTTGGAATGAAATATCTATGTAAAAGATCATCATGATTAACAGCTATCCGCTTTTAGATCGTTTGAATTTATACATTTTATTACCATATATACTTCTTCTTAAGTTCTTCACTTTTAAACAAAACTCATCATGTTGTTGCAATACACTAGCACACCGACTTAAAGAAACAAGTTTAACACCACTGTCAATTATGATTAGTCTATTATTATGTTCTACATTCGTCTTTTTAAAATACAACTTTAACTGGGTGTTTTCAAATCACATTTACAAATCTCCTTGTCCATAAATGTTTGGTTGAAAAAAATTCAATGCTCCTGTTAAAATCATTGATTATACTATCAATATAAGATTTACAAATATCATACCCCTAAATATAAGATTTACAAATATCATACCCCTAAAAATGCTCCTGTTAAAATCATTTGTAGTTTTACACTTTGCAATATATATAAATGTAAATGTCTGGAGGAATATTGTACAAGAGCTAACGTAATTTTCCCCTTGCATCATTGTCTAGATACATTTGATGAGTTGTGTGTTTAAGTTTCTCATAAGTTTGAAGAAAGATTGGAGGTGTACTTGGTCTTGTAAGAGTATCATCTTGATTTGTACAACTTCATAAAATTTTCTCTTAATATAGCATCTATTACTAGCTTCAGGGCTACCTAGGACCACAATTAATAATGTCATATTCCCATGTCTATTTCTTGTGGAATATATAGCTTAATAATTGCGAACATTCGAATTGCAAAACACAAGTGGAAGTGTTGATTGTTGAACCAAGCAATACCATTCATATTCATGTTGGTTAGATAGAGAACGCGAATATGAATATCCATCAGCCCCATATAAAAAAAGACGGTGGATTGCTTTTCTAATTATACATTAATATTCTTGTTTGCTTCTCAATCTGTTAAAGTAAATTGTAGATGGCTCTATATAAAGGCCTAGGGGAGGCAAGAGTTTTTCTCATCACAAAGCTTTTACCTTACAATCTTGAGAGCTAAAACATTTTCTTGAAAAATGGGTTTATCTGGGAAGAAGGTGGCTCAAGTGGATATCAAATGCAATGCAGATGTATTTCTTGGACTCTTGAGGTACAGGCCAAACAACTTGTCGAAGATAGCCCCAGATCATATTCTTGGATGCCAGTTGGTAGAAGGCGAATGGGGTACAATCGGATCCATAGTTATCTGGAACTACAAAATTGGTACGTAATATTCGTTCCTAATTTCGGAAAACATTTGAAGTTGGAACTTATCACGCTCAAGCTATCACCATGTCAGAAGCTCAAATATCATTTAATGTGAAGATACGATAATAATATGAAAACCACACACTTTATATATATAACTGAATATATGAACTAGTTACGATTTCAGTTTGTACTATGGTTTTTCGAAAGAGAAAATGACAAACTAGCCATATGTTTTAATTATTTTTCATTTACTAGTCAAAATTTTGCAATTAGCTAAAAATAGCCAACAAAACCGTAGCTAAATTAAGACGCATGTGGTTTCGGGTAAAGTCTATGGCTTCGTCTCGTATAATAAGAAAAAATTCATTTTTTTCGACAAAACCGTAGGTGATTTACTCACCTACCGTATGCTCTAAACAAAACTATTGTTTGGTGTTTGATGAGCATCAAGAACAAAACCCTAGCTGGCAGGTGTCATATACTGTCCTCCTTCAAATAACCTACTTTTTTGTTATTGGGATTCAATTACTTTTTTCGATCAAACTACCAATTAATACAAATAATATACCACATAATAAAACTATATTATTATACATGTTAGAAAAAGAAAAAACAAATTAAACACTGCAAACCATAGATGTGGTATGCCATTTACGGTGTACAAACTGCTAATGCAACATTCTGTGCATTAGTAGCTTATACACCGTATGTGGCATACCTCACCTACACTTTCAGTCTTTCTTTTTCTTTGGTTTTTGCAATAAAAAAAACTATACACAATACTATTAGATTTTAAGGTAAACTATAGAAAACAAATAAAAAACGAAGTTTACGACAAAAAACTAGTTGTTGATTCGAGTCGCCACAGAGAACGTTTCTTTAGCTTCAAACACTAAAAAATGACCTAAATAGAAATTTTTAACTTTATATATTATGGGCTAATGAGCTTCAAATATGTAGATGGGCTCCAAAACCATAGCATATTGCCCATAAACTATATGTAATTAGCCTAGTATATGACCAAACCGTAGGTTATAAGAAGAAAACCATAGGCTTCGTTAACTGTCTAGTGTTTCGTTGGCTATTTTTAGCTAAAGACTAAGTTTTGACTATTAAGTTAAAACTCATTAAAAAACATAGCTACATTTGTAATTTTCTCTTTTCTAAAAACATTCCATGCATGCATGTTTGTCTTAGGAACCCTAAAATTTCGTTAATTAATAATCCTTGTTTAGTGGTTTGTACAACTGTTTAATTAAAAGATGTCTATCTATAACCTTTTTTAATTTCTACGACGAATCAAATAGCCTCGATTCTTTATTGTGTTTCTTGATTATTTATAGATGGAAAGTTGCTATCTTCGAAGCAAGTTCTCGAAGCTGCAGATGAAAAAAACAAATCCATCACCTACACGCCGTTAGAAGGAGATGCCATGCTGCAGATTTACAAAAGCTTAAAAGCACACATTCACTTTAGTGAAAATGGTGAAAACAACTTTGTGACATGGACGCTTGAGTATGAGAAGATAAATGAAGACGTCCCTGACCCAGATGCACTCATTGATCTTGCTTACAAAGTTACCAAAGTTGTTGAGCTTCACCTTCTCAAGTGATCCTGATATTGATCAAATGATGGTGAAGACTACAAGAAGTAGAACTATATGACAATAAAAATATTGGGTTACACGTTACTCAATATGTATGGTTTCATTCTTATGTTCCTTATCTAAAGGTGATGCTTTCATGTATATTTATGGGCTTTAATTAAAGTGGTGTGTATTAAACTTAAATGCAAATGTGATTGTTGTTAATATAAACATATGGACACTGTCATATAAATTAATAGATATAACTGAATGTTGCTATTGTTGTAGATATAGCGACATATTTTGTGTTCTCCTTTTGATGCAAGAATATCCAGGTAAGATTCTGCTTAGGCCATCTCCAATGTATAAGTGCTTAGGCCATCTTCAATCAGCATTCCACTATAACACTATCATTTTATTCATTTAACTCCACACTCCATTTAATTCTATTAAAGTTTAATTGATCACCAAATCACCATTTTATTATATTTTTTATTTAAATAATATTAATACATAAAACTAAAATGTTAAAATAATTCAAAATTAAAAGTTACATCTTTTATTTAAAAAGATTGTTTATATTTTTCCACTCTTTATTTAGACAATTAAAAAGTAAATTATAAAACAAAATTTAATTACTTACAAAATTAAAATATATCATTTTAATTGAATATTACTGAATAGAAAATAATTTAAATTATAAATAAAAAATAAATCAAAATATAACAAATATGTTGGTTATATAAAATAAATTAAATAAATATATTTTAAATGTATATATATAATCCATACCACCGGTTCAATCTCCATTAAACTCAAATTTATTAAATTTGGGTTGCAATGGTGGGTTCAATCAATTGGACGACCACATCGTCACTTTTTCACCATTAAACTCCCCACTCAATCCCCATTGGGGATGACCTTAGGTCATCTCCAATGCATTGAACTCTTAAGAGTTCAATGGATTGCCACATCAACGTTCCACTAACAATATCATTTTATTCATTAAACTCCACACTCCATTTAATTCTATTAAAGTTTAATGGATCGCCACATCACCATTTTATTATATTTTTAATTAAATAATAGAGTAAATTACACGAATGGTCCCTATGGTTTGGGGTAATTTGCGCGTTTGGTCCCTAACTTATTTTTTTAACTCGAAAAGTCCCTACTGTTTGTTTTTGTTACACGTTTGCTCCCTACTGTTTGTTTTTGTTACGTGCTTGGTCTCTGTCTTACCTAAAAAGACTATTATTTAAATAGGGAAAAATGGTGGGGTAGGTAAGGTAAGGTGAGGGGGTGGGCTTGGGGTGTGTTTATTTAAATAAATTGAAAAATTAAGGGCAAAATAGTTTTTTTAGGTAAGACAGGGACCAAGCGCGTAACAAAAACAAACAGTGGGGGACCTTCCGAGCTAAAAAAATAAGTTATGGACCAAATGCACAAATTACCCTAAACCATAGGGACCATTCGTACAATTTACTCTAAATAATATTAATACATAAAACTAAAATGTTAAAGTAATTCAAAATTAAATGTTACATTTTTTATTTAAAAAGATTGTTTATATTTTTCTACTCTTTATGTAGACAATTAAAAAGTAAATTATAAAGAAAAATTTAATTACTTACAAAATTAAAATATATCATTTTAATTGACTCAATATTACTGAATAGAAAATAATTTAAATTATAAATAAAAAATAAATCAAAATATAATAAATATGTTGGTTGTATAAAATAAAATAAATAAATATATTTTAAATGTATATATATAATCCATACCAACGTTCAATCCCCATTAAGCTCAAATTCATTAAACTTGGGCTACAATGGTGGGTTTAACCAATTGGATGGCCACATCATCACTTTTTCATCATTAAACTCCTCATTCAATCCCCATTGGGATGACCTTATAGATAGGTTAACAATTAAAATAGTAAGAGATTGAACGAGATGTTCGTAAAACTTATATATATATATATATATATATATATATATATATATATATATATATATATATACCTTAATAAACATTTAACCTCAAATGCTAAATTCTAAGAGGTATAATTCTTAATGCACTATATACAATCTCTTTATGCATTACAAAATCATAAATGTTATCCGATCAACAAGTTTCAGACTTTGAATAAGTCTCCTGCTCTCATCTTCAAATTGAAATGGTCAAAGACGAAGAAGCATTCATCACGTTCGACCAATAATTCCCCAATATTTCGCCCATTTTGTTATGATAATCAATATTGAATTGCAGCTTCGCCTCTTGAATCTTGCCTCCTTCTCCTATATATCGTGCCTCGCCTTCCTTATGCTCCCCCGTTCTCTATAAACCCTACACTCGACTGCCACCACCGCTCAATCCTACCGTCATGTCAACCATTTGTAAGCTGCACCACTTCCGTTGGATGGTTTACTTCCAGACCTCTCTTCTTCTCCCGTTTGCGATCACATATAAACTTGCAAGAGGTATCTCTCCTTCTCTTTCTGGTTTTTAATCACATACAAACACACACTTCTATGTTGTGTTTAATTTTAATTTCTTCTCACAATCATAAATAAGAAATACAAACTTGGGTTTATTTTTTGGTTGAAATTTGTATTTCCATGTGAACCCAGTTTGGGTTTTTTCTTCTGAAGCATAGATGGTGGCCAAGGATTTGAAAGTTTAGTGGAAGAGGTAATTCCGTCCACAATTTAAGGTATGACTGCTCCTTCTTCTTTCCCATTCTTTCATATGACTGCTCCTTCTTCTTCGCAAAATCAAAGAGATATCACAAAACAATCCAAAACCCCAAAATCGGTTGACAGAATACCATGGAAATTTTAGATAAATTGGCTTATTGGACGGTTGAATCTCTATGATTCTCTATAGAATTACTAAATTATTGAATCTATTTTTGCCATTTAAAGGGAATAGTTTCAACATGGTTTGTTCTTTATGATTTTGAGATGACCCCTTGCTGCGATGTGAGGAAAAAACTTTTTTTAAAGCAACAACAAACTGTAATGCATCAACGAAAAGACTTTTTTTTCTGGTACCGTCCCTTTTTGTAGATTCTATCTCTTTGTAAACTTTCGTTGATTTAACGATTTTGGGTTTTTGTTTTCGTTAATGTAGCTATATTGACTATTTTACTGGAAAAGATGAAGAACATCCCCTTTGTAAGCCTAAAATGTATCAACTATCGGAAGCTTAAAAACTGGTAAAAACTTCTTTTTTCTATTTTCTGTTTCATATTTGCTTAAGTTCTTCGGTTGATTATCATAAAGACACGGTAATATTGTTGTTTCTCTTTCTCTAATATTAGAACTTTTGAAATGAAGACAAGGGAATAGTATTTGCTTTCGGTTCATTCTTCTACACACCCACTTTATAGGTTCCTTTGTTTCTGTTAGGTGTGCTAAAGCCAACAAATAAAGGGGTACAAAATGACTCCAAGAACACTGTTACTTTGCACTAAAACGTAATACAAGATAAGCATGGTCGATCCACAGAGACACGGAACAAGTGCTTATACCTTTTTGCGTAAGGTACAAATGTGTCACATAAATTGGGGGGGGGGGTGGGAATTTATATCCAATGATTTAAACAAGATACTAAAGCAATAAGTAAATGATTGATTAAATAAAAAAATTCAAGATTTGTAAGGACTCCAACCCTATGCAAGACAAATTAGTAATGTGATTCGATGGATGAAATGATATTTGTTCAATTTTATCTAAGTTGGTACTTGGAAGTGCTAACAAGCTCTAGCACTTCCCATTCACCACATTAATTAACCAAAATAAACGCTTTGATTAATCCTAACCTTACCAATCTAATCTAAACAAGCTCTTAGAGTTAGATTGAAAGATTGCATAAAACTTTATGTGAATATTCCCAACAACATTCAATACTCCTCACAAGCTCGGGAGCGTAAGAATGTGTGAATATGAAATACACTAGATTTATTCTAAAGAATTCAATTTAGTGTTTGTTACTTGCTCTATTTTACAAAATAATTACAGATTTTGCACAATAGATAACTTGAATGGTTTAACCCTAATTCAAATGACCAATAAGAACTAAAATTAAAATCAAACATTCAATTAAAACGAAATCAAATTCACTAGATAGAAATTGGAAACAAACATCAAATCACGTGATTGAAATCACAACTAAAAGTCAAGACATAAAGTTGGAGAATCTAGGGTTCTAGCTACACATGACTAGAACAAGAACACAAATCTAGAAAATGAAGTTAAAGTTCTTACAATATGAAATCCAAATAAAATCCAAGTGTTTCCAAGTGTTAATTGACTCCAAAATCCTCCAGAAAGCTCCCAAAATCGACAAGACAAAAGATGAAATCGGTTGCACCCTTTAAGAAAGATGAAAAACTACGTTTTAACCCACGTCCACTGTGACATCCCCAATTTTACGGCCAGAAAAGACCGATTTGTTTATGCTTTATTTGAAAATCAGAGTATTCATTTTTAAAGAATAATATTGCAGAATTTGTTCCAAGAAAAACATGATAAATATATTATCAAAGAATTTCCGAAGAAATGTATTTTGTTTATATTAAACCTTTGGGATGTCATCGTCAATACGGAAAAACATAAGCATAAACAGACCTTACATTCATTTACACTAGTGATTTACATCTCCTTTAATCTTTCAGTGCAATGTGTCTTCGTATTGATACATGTGATACAAATAGACTGAGTGGGTCAGGTTGGGAAACATGGTGAGTACATAGGGATTTCAATCCCACAATGTTATATGATATATATATATATGTGTGTTTTAGAACATCACAACATATACAAATTCGCCTCATATAAGCAATTTACCCCACCTCGTCGACCCTCACAACGACACAGTCTATACTCTCGGATCTAAAATCTGTCTCTTTACCTAATCCATACTCCCGGATCTAAAATTACCTCTTTACCTAATCCATACTCCCGGATCGGGTATGTCTGATCCATACTCCCGGATTAATAACTATGCCGATTCCATTCTCTTGGACTAGGGACAATTGACTTATGTCTAATCCATGCTCCCAGATTAATGACAAGTTTTAAAGTTCTACCTTCCATGTATATCTCACTCGTACTCATAAGGAGATACTACCCAATATTCTTCTTAATTAACTTAGGGTTACTCTGTATCATCATATAATTATTAGATATGCTCTTAACACGTATTTCAGGCAATATCAAATATTTCACACACAAATATATATTTAATACTTTAATCAATACTTGTATTAATATCATGTTCATGAAATGAACTATACACTCACCTTAGTAGCGTGATTTGATAGAATTTAACTAGAACCGGTCAGAGGCTCGTCGTTGTCAGGCTCGGGAAGGGAAACAGTCTTTCGAAAACGAGAGAGAATGAAAGAATTTGGTGTACCGATTGAATGAGGCTTGATCGCTATTTATAGGCTGTTTTGGGAACTCTCACGTCGTGAGAAATCATTGCTCACGTCGTGAGGCCGGGCTGCATCACCTCGTAGACTTGCCATTTGCGTTTCTAGCTTCAAAAGGTGTCCATTTGACTTCTCACGTCGTGAGAATGCTTGCTCACGTCGTGAGACCTAAACTTATCATTCCGTAGGCTTGCCATCTGCATTCTAGCCTTGAAAAGTGTCCGTTTGACTCCTCACGTCGTGAGAATACATGCTCACGTCGTGAGCCCTGACAGATTAGGGTTTCTGCCATGTGTCATGCTCTAAGACAACTACATCTTTGGAAGGTCATAACTTTTGCATACGAGCTCCGTTTTTGACGTTCTTTATATTCACGCGTAGGTGGAGACGCACTCTACAAATTTTGTTTATATCACTAAGGCTAAAAAGTACTTTATCGTAAATTCATTTTTTTACGATTCTCGATGTCGTGCCTTTTTGTCGCGAAACTTCGACATGTCATAACTTCTTTGTTATAACTCGGATTTCAGCGCTCTTTATATGTACGAAACCCTTGTGACATATATTATAACTTAGTTAAGATTATTTATTCTAAATAATATTCCATCAAAAAGTCATTTTTTGACGCTTATTGTCTCTAAATTGGCTAGCCCGAATCTGTGGGCGTTACATCCACGTTTACATTGCCCGTGTAAATTAACACTGTTGTTTACACGACCCGTGTGATTAAAGAAGTACACTGCTCAGATTGGCTAGGCTTTCAAAGTACGTTGCTGGAGTATGCTCGTTTACACGGTGCGTGTAAACTCAAGGCTATAGTTTACACGACCCGCATAATCTCCTGAAGTGCCAAAATCTTCAATATCTTCATCCCCGGTGCTCCGCAAGTCCTGAAATCTTGTCCACATCTTTTATTCACCTCCTCAAGTGAGATCCCACCTCCAAAAGTCCCTGAAATATCACAAAAGTGTGCGAGTGAAATAGTATCATGGAAAATCCCGAAAAACATGTAAAATGCATGAGTTTAAGCCTAGATGCAATGCACTTTTATGAAATAAAGCTACAAAATGGGTGCATGAAATGCACCTAACAGTTTCCTATAGCTTCACTCAATTTTTAATGTTTGGTTATTGTTGTAGCCTATGGTTCATGACTGTTTGTTCATTTATTATAGGTAATAGTGTCCGATTTCATGAGATTCATGGCATTTTTATGGTAGAAATAATTAAATGATGAGAGATGTTGTTAATTATGTGTCATGATGCCATTATGCCTAACAGTTGTTTGATGAAATGCCTAGAAGAAGATGCATGGAGAAGGGCTAACGATGAGGGTCGTTTCAGTTATTGTTTCACTTATTTGCTTGAATTCCTTTCTAACTGGCAAGTTTGATACAAACAACTGCCAACATTGAAATAACAAGTGGTTCTGGTGTTGTCATATTTCAAAATTAGGTATTGAATGCAAAAGAGAGACGATTCCTTGATGTTATATCGTAGAAAACATAACAAGTTTCTCCAGGTTCCTTTCTTTATTATATATATATATATATATATATATATATATATATATATATATATATATATATATATATATATATATATATATATATATGTATGTATATTTCAGTTTTATATGTTTTTTTTTTGTTGTTTTTGGATATGGATTTTCTAACTAGTTATCAAGATGATGTGATTAAGATGGTGAATATGACTTGGTGAAGATGAAAGGATGTGATGAAATTAAAGCAAAGCCACGTGTAAAGGTACAATTATCCTGAAATAGGATCATCTCTTTAACCAAATGAAATCATATATTTATGTATTTGACTTTTTAATAATTGCTATAAAAACATAAATTGAAATAATTTCTCAAGTGTAACCCAAATCGTTATCTCTATAGAAGCCATATGTTCAAATTGGGTGTCCATCAAAATTCTTGAATATCAAGAATATCAAAAGCATAGGAGTAGCTTTTTATGTGCCATTTTTTCAATTTACTTGAATAGAAATCAATGACAATCACTTGTGTTGTTAACTTAATCTGTTATTCCACCGGGAAGAAAGAACTTGAACAAAACCGATTTTCTTTCTGTTTTCTTACTCGAGGTTTCTTTCGTTGCTTATTTATATTTTGCATTTGATGTGGATGTATGCAAATTAGAATAAAACAAGGTAGTTGATTGATTAGAATGAAAAGTCATTGAAAGTAAGTTGCTATTACAACCTATTATTATTG